CAATTTATATATATATATTTTTATATTAATAATTTAATTAATATAAAAATTTGTCCATGGCGTGTCGTGCCCTACTTTTTGCAATAATGTTGCGTCATGTCCATGTCCTCATGCCCATGTATGTGCTTCATAAATCTAAGGGTATCTGTGATACCCATGATCCTAACAAAAATGAATTTGACATGGATGACTAATGATGATGCTCTTGTTGTATAAATAGCATGGCAACAAATGTACATTATCACAGTGTGATAGCACAAATGCATTGCTTTGAAGACCTTTTGAGAGGTGCAATCAAATAACAAATCCTTAAACATTCATTAGTGATCTGAGCACGAGGAAGGAGAAGTTCGACCTTACTCGCACAATACAAGCTAGTTTGGATCAAGATGGTTTTTTTTTTAAGTCCATCAATTTGGACTATTTGGGCCTTAAAACATGCAATCCTAGTTTCGACGGATTCTCTCAAAGGAGAGAATATTACATACTTTTTAGTATGCGCGGACAAAGGTGGATGGAGTGGTCACATCACTATAATTTCACTTATATGTGATTTAATCTTTCTATCCATTCTTGTTCGTACATAGTTACAAAATATATAATATTTTATCCTCTCAAAGAGAATAACATTTCCATTATGTTTTCATGGTCTTATGAGCTAACTTAGCTTAGCGAATTGATTTTTCAAAATAAATTGAATCTTAGCACAACCAATTTGCATTGCTCAGATATTCACAATTTCAGTTAAAAATTGTGTTAGATAATATGGGAATTTTATAATCCCAACAAAAGTTAAAAATGAATTGAAATTTCCTTCGACCCATTAAGGGTAACCACACCGCTCCCCCACCTCTTCTATAATAATCTTTTGAGAAAAGTGGCTCAATCCTTTTTCTTTTGCTTTCATTCCAATAAATAATAATATGTACAATCTATTTTAGGTAACCTAATAATACATAATAATTCGTACAATTTATTTTAGATAACCTAATAATACATATTACTAATCATTATTCAGCTTTAATAAAACAATATGTAAAATTAATAAGAGAGGAAAATCAAGAGCAAATTAAATAAGAAAACTCTTAATTTTGTCTGATTTCCGCCAGTCTTGATTGATATGCCAATCAAATTAATGTTGAATGATCAAGAAGCATCAATTAGCTAACAAGGAACTGATGACACTGCCGAGAAATGACTTGTGATTTGCGCTTTTGAGGCTTTATAAGATACTCCTTAATAATATGTCCATTTTGCTTGCAAGAATCACAGAACTTCTTACTACAATGGCGAGCAATATGACCAAATTCTTTGCAGCTGTAACATTGTTTTGTTCTCTTCCCTTTGGTCTGAGTAGCACATGAAATATTAACTATTTCAGATGATCAATCAGCCGCACCAATAGAGGCTTGTGGCGTCAATCTTTGTTCTTCACGCAGTAAGGATCGGATCTCTATTCAGCATCCTAGTCCGAGCAGTTTAAAATTCAGGTCTAAGCTACATCAAAAACTAATCACGGCAACTCATTTCATGAATAGTTTGAAGACTAGCTAAATTCTCCTTTGACACCTTAGCATAGATAATACCAGAATATTCGCTCCATAAATAAAAAAAGCAAGAATAATAGTGTTCAATTAAGAGATTACCTTGACGATAATTACTCATATCAAGTTCCAATTAAAAGTGTCTTGTAGTATTATCTTGATTGTAGACGTGTTTTATCTATTCCCACATTTCTTTAACTATATCAAAGGATCGTAAATTATTCACCATATAAACTTTAATAGATCCCAAAATCTAAAAAACAATCCGAGCATCCATTGCCTCCTATTGACCAAGGTCTTTCAGCACTATAGATGCTAGAGAAGGCCGATCAATATGACCCCAAAGCTCATTTCCTTTCAAAAACATCTTGAATTGAAATTCTCATGCTGCATAATTCTTTTCAGTAAATCTGATAGCTAGTTTCGCGTATTTTCTCAGAGACATTCAAAATAGAATTGTCACTCAAAAGTTGATTATCAAAAAAATTGTTGATCAAAATTGATCAGCCTAAAACCAAGGAAAACTGAGAACCAACATATCTAAGAATAAAATAAAACTATAGATTCAACAAATTATCTGAATCAAGCATTCTGCCACTGCATCAAGAGTTTTGTCGGTGGAGGGGACCTGCAAGGAAGGGTTTCCTTGCACTTCCGCGTAGTGACTACCACGTAAAGTTCAAATGCATGAATAAGTTTAAAAGGACATTGATGCTAGAGGAAAAAAATAATGACTGCACGACCTGAACAGAACTGAACAATCTGGTTCTGACAGAGAGGAGGGACTCGGGATCGAGTAAGGAGCCGCAACAAGGACAGAGCATTGAATTTGATCGAGTAGATAAGATGACACACTGAGGGTGGGCTTGGTTTCGTGTTAGGGCAAAGAGTGGTGTTGTTGCAGCGTGAGGTTTGCGTGAACATGAAAGGAGGAAGACGGGTTGGGAGACACGGCAGATAGGAGAGGCAAGGGCTTCCACCTTTGAATCAGGTGGCTTTCCCGTGCGACAGAGAGAATCGACAAGGACAAGATCGGCTAGGGCGCAGCTGTGGCTCAATTTCGCAAGAAGAAGCAGAGAAGGATCACAACAGAGGGATCCAGGGTAAGGCCAATGCCTCTGTTACCATAACAATTTTTTGAGAAAATTGGCTCTATCCTTTTTCCTTTGCTTTCATTCCAATATATAATAATCTATATAGTTTATTTTGGTTAACCTAAAAATACATAATAATTTACACAATCTATTTTAGGTAAACTAACAACACATATTACTAGTCTAAATATTCAACTATAAGGAAAGAATATGTACAATTAACAAGAGGAAAATCAGGAGCAATTTAAATAAAGAAACTCTTAATTCTGTCTTATTTCAGCCATTCTTGATTGATATTCTGTTCTCCTGATCTCTAGTAAATGTTGGCTCCATCTTATTGTCACACCTTCATTTGTTCTCCCGTTCCTTGTCTTCTCACCTTTTATTTCTATGCTCAGGGTTTTAACTTACATTCTCTACAGCCGAGTAAATTCCATTTCATTCCATAGCCATGCAAATCTCCACAACCCTAACCCTATACAAATAAAAAATCTTACAAACCCCAATACTGGATCTCCATATGCATCCAATTGATATCAAAGCAATTTGCTATCAAGAATAATAAATAAATCACCAGCCAGGGCATCAGGCAGAGTCATTCACTCTGATCAGACAGACAAGAACACTGAAAATTACCATATCTAGCCCAAAGCTGGGGCTCCACTCCACTGCTTTCGCGGATAAGAATAGGGAGCTTGGGATTCAGGGTCTTCAAATCTTTGTAGTTCCGATGAACAAATTCTCTGCATACAAAACTTCTATTATTACAGAAAGGCGAAAAATCGAATATGCGCAAACCCTAGACTAAATTGAACGGAGAAGAAGGAAGGGGAAGCTATACCGAGCTGGAAGACTAGCCGGCGAAGTTTGGCAATATAGAAAACGAAGCTCCTTCACACTGCGAGATAGATGGCCTCTCCACGACCCCATTCTTCCCCTTTCCCTGGTCCGGCCTCTTTCCCTCGTCTGGCCCCGTCGCAGAATGCAGCTTCGGTCAAGCTAGCACTAAACCGGATTGGCTATGAGTTGATTCTATAGAAATAGGACATGTTAATTTTTTTTATGGAAATTTAAATGCACATCACACAATTCTTATGTACTTACGTTTATGTTGGATCATAACTTATATATGTGGAGGTGTATTTTATTTTTCGGTACAGTTCACAACTTGTGAAATTTAACTTGAATGAATTTAGTAAATTATATAAATTCAAATTTAACATATCTTATTGTGGTTAAATCTCAAAAATTATTTTGTAATATATTTTATAAATCTAGTTAAATTCTGCAAAATTGCTTGTTAAACTTCTTTTAGAATTTAAATTTATTTCTTCAAGTTAATTTCATTGATTATTATTATTTAATTAGTTTTCGTTAATTAATTATTAAGTAGAATTTATTGATAATCACTTATTACATAGTAATTTACTCATCATTAATTAGTATAATTATTTCATAATCACTGTATATAATATTTTGACAAGCATTAATCAAGTTATTATAACTAATTAAACTTGAGAAAAGTAGATTAAATTATTTACAATGTTAATGCAATTTTGTTATTATTTTATATTTATACAAGTTAAATTAGTCACCTTAAGATAATTTATATGAAATAATTGATGCAGAATATATACTTAAAAATGGTCTACACATATCTCGAGGTAATCTGATGGTCCAAGAAAATGAGACTGAAATGACTTTTGCTCTTTAAATCAATGCTAAATATGTAATTTATATATTGTTTTCCTCCATTATCTTTTATAAATAGGAGAGTTTTATGATGTATGAGGGACTTTTGGTTTCCAGACTTGCAACATATATCTTTTACGAATGAAAATTAGTCTAGAAGCCTAGGGAACACCCCATTCGCCCCCCCATGGAGCAAGTCCTCATTTTCTCTCTCTCTCTCTTACTCTAAATTTTCATCTTATGCTTCCTTTCTCTTCTTCTCAATTCTAATGATCCATTTTTTCGGCACAGTTTGTCAGACAGATTTGGATTCAACATCATTTTAGGTGCGGAGGGCGTGGATCTTGTTGTCAACAAGAAGAAGAGCAATATCGGAGAGAAACTCTTCAAAGAGACGCTCCTATCAAAGAGCACACAAGAGGAACTTGTAAACAATGGATCCTCGTCGTCGGTTATATCCAAGATATCTTGTCTCTTTCCACAAAGATTTGTGCATGTTCTTATTTTCTGGATCTAGAGATCTCCAACGCTCCTTCCGTGAGTAGATCTTCATTCCCGACCTTGCCAAACTTACCTTCAAAGCACAAGCCACAATTTTCTCTCACTGCAGGCCTCCCTACCATGCTAACCATCTCCCCAAACCGGTCGACTTGCCCCAAATAACACTTTTTTGGTTGTTTTGTGCTTAGATATAAAAAGAAGACAGAGGAACAATTTTAAATGCTTTTTGTAGTCATATCAGGCATTATGATGTCCTAACACAACAAACACGGTTTTGCTAAAAGGCTCATGTCCGAGGTGTTATTGAGATTTTTGCCCATTCAACTAACTCTTTGGTCTGCCCTGCCTATAGTCCGACCTCCTCACCATGATTCTGGTCGATCAGCAACCACAGCAAAAGCCGATCTTCAGCATACTTTTCTAACATGCATGGGATGCCACGCCGCCAGTTTAACTAGGCATTAATCTTCTGTCGCACACAGATCTGACCTGTTGATTGATTTATGTCAGCCAGCCGCCCCCTGGTCCGGCCGGCCTCTAACATTCATCTATCGTGAAAAATGAACGGTCTTCTGGCCAACCCGCCAGTCGACCATTTACTGCTCTTGTTGACAAACTAATTTTGTCGGTCGAACGCCACCTCGCCGACCGTCCTAGTCTTGACAGCTAGTCATCAACTGACCACCCCGACTGATCGGTCATCTGTCGATCACATAAAAAGCTGGAAGAAGAAGGACGAGAGTTACAATTAGGAGAAATGAAAAAAGGTATAGTAAAAATAAAAAAAATAATAACAAAATAAATAAATAAAAAGTTTTCTGTGGGATACATTAAAACAATAAAATAATATGATAAGAGAAGAAGAAATACAAAGTTTATATATAAAGACAACTTCAGTAGCATAGCAGCTTACAAATATAGAATGTTTTGCGCATATAAATTATTTGAATATTTCTTAATAAAAATCTACATCCCCTCTTTGAAAGCCTGGATTTAAGGATTCTACTTAGCCAACCACTCCGGTCAGCCGCCTACCCCCAGCCGACCATTTAACCTACTTCAACCCATGGCCTCAAAACTTACATCCATACCACCCAATTTGTATGTATGCACCCACCCACTGGTCGATACCCTCACACCTTCGGTAGGGCATCCACCAATCTGTCATCTCCTCACTACCATATGGCCACCTCGTTCCTTCGGTCGACCACCTAACCGAACCCGCAATTAGGAGATTCTTCTCCAATTGTTAAATCCTTGGCTTGTACCCCAAATCCAGGATAGGTTTTGTGGGATTTGAATTTTCTATTTACTCATTTCTCATTATCATTTATCTGGTCTCCCCTCTCACTTTTCTCCATACATCTCTGGTATCTTGATGCATTATGTGACAGCCTCTTAATCGGTTTTGTGTCGTTTTGGTATTTACATACAATCCACCTATTTGTCGACCACTTATTTACTCTGACCAGCAATATTGTTGACCAGCTATCTCAGACAATTAACCGCCTACCATTCCACTGGCAACATTTTCACCAAATGGCCATCCAGTCGATCGATAGCTTCTCCCTAAATCGGCTACCCCACATCGGCCGAGAATATCTATCAAGTTGATTTTGTTGTTTTGAAAAAATAAATTTTAGATTTAATTTAATACATATAGATAAATTTGATTTTGAAAAAGTAGTATGTTAATTTTAAAAAATAATGTTTCAAATTTGAAAATATGAGATCAAACTGATCTAATATATATAATAATTTACATGATCGAGCATAACACCTCAAATGATGCATCTACCCCGAGGAATAGACATTACTCTTGTTAATGATGCTTAATTAAATAAACTAAAAGATTTATGAAATCCGTTTGGTCTGCAAAACCTTTTTTTTATATATAAGCCGAGAAATTTCCCTATATAATATGAAAGATCAGATAGTATTTATATTAATCTGGGTTCCAAAGTTCCCTATAGAGGCAAACCTCTATAGTTAATTACATATTAAGCGGTCGAGGTCGCTTAAGAATACTCTCGATTTAGACTAGTGGTTTTGCTCTCAAGAATTCCAAAGTTTAATTTTTCAAGAGTGCACATTACAAATTAAAAAGGGATAGGATCAAGTAGGAACAGTTATTAACAGGAACCCAAAGGAATGAATGGTAGGAGATGTCATTGATTCGAGGGAAACCTCTTAGACTTCCTGAGCTATCCAGTTTTTTTGCTTCAATTTAGAAATGTTATTACTTAATGTTTCATTCTGCCAATTTTATCATTTTAGGGCTTACATTTACATGACAGTTATACAAATAGCCTAAGAGATTGAAGGGTTTATGTCACAATGAACGACAATCTCGGAGCCTAAAACTAGTTAGGGCTTAAATTGCACAACATGATTGTGCAAAGGCCTAAAGATAAGTTGAGGATTTATGTTGTACTAGACGGACTACCTCGAAATCCTTTGGCTTATTATTTAATTCCAAGAAAGGTTTGTTATTGTAGATCTAGTTGCTCTCTCGAAGTTGTTCTTCTGTTCATCCTCTTCATGCTGCCCACGGTATTAGCTCCAAGCTTCTTATCGAGGTGACAACTCCTAGTTTTTGGGCTTAAGGTTTTACAGCCTTTGGGTCAAGTTTTGTTGTTGTTCAAGTATCATAGGGGGGTTAAAATTGATTAGAGCGACACCAGTTAGTATCCTACGGTTCCCTCTTTCTGGTACCACTATTTTCTTTTGAATTTACTTAGTCTAAAAGAGTTGATAAACTCATTTAAACTGAGAAGATCTCGTTAGCAATCTTGGGTTACGTCATCCAAGAGACTCGTAAATTCAAAAGGATGTTTTATGTTTGTTTGTTGTTTTTTTAATGTTGTTTAAGTTTAATTTTGAAAATTATTGTTTTTGGTTTTTTTTAAATATATCTCAACCAAGCATGCATAATACATTAAAGCAGTAATAAATTGTTGAAATAAAATGACAATAAATAAACTATAAATGTGTACTAGTCATTTGATGGAGTCTAGAGGGATGTCCTATTTCGGGCATAATTTTAAGCTCCAAAATTGAACTCAGGCAGTCGGTTTGAGGGCTTGAGGAAGGTTGGGTTGAACTCAATAGGTCTTGAAGAAGCTCTGGGAACAATTTGACAGTGTCTCCCCAAGGAATTTTAAGCTCTCTTCTCTTAGCCGCGGAGGGTGAGTTTAAAAAGAGAAGGTTGTGGTGGCTGACATGGATGGCTGAGGTGGTTGGGAGGTTGCCTAGGTGGAGGGTAAAAGGATCCAATGGCTAAATGTACTTGTACACATCAGGTGGGTTCAATTTGAGTTTTAGCCAAGGTGGAGCTTTTGGATTTGGATTTTCCAGCAACCAAGGTGGCTAGTCGGCTAGGGAGGGGCCACCATCTGGCTCAGGGAGGTCAAGGCTAGGTCATGGTGCAATCAATTTGTGGTTGACATGTGTAAAGGTTATTAATTGAAATGGAAGGGGTATTGGGCTAGGTTGGGTCAAGCTTGGGTTTAGCCTTATGGAAATAGCTTGGGTGACTCCCCATGGCTGACTAAGGCCAAGTGAGCTAGCTGAAATGGTGTGGAGAGGTCTCCATCCAAACGATTTGGGCTAAGCATGGGTTTAAGTGTGTAAGTGTGTCATTAAAAGGGTCAAAGCCTTTTTAAGGAGGCCTGAAAGTGTCTTGTACTCTTGCCATTAATAGCTTGGTGAGGTGGCAAAGCTTACATGGCTCACCT